ATTTATTAAGTTTAATTAAATATTCAGATTTCTATTCTCATAATATATATTTTTATCCCTTAATTTAAAATTTTAAAAACTAAAAATTTGTATATATAACCAAACTTATAAGAATTTTTTGGAATAAATTTGTAAAGGGTCGAATTCGAACTGTTGATCAAGGAAAAGGGGATGCACTTTACGGGTGGATTGAGATCACTGGACTAAAAGTCCAAGTGCTTTATTATTTTTAATTAAACTTAAATTTTTTTTATATATTTTTATTAAATTTAATTATTTTTTTACTATATATTTCTAAAGAATAAAAGATAAACCAGACTTATAAGATTAATTAATGAAAGAATTAAAAAATATATTTTTTATAATTGAGAGATAAAAAAATACATACAAGAAGTTAAAAAATAAAACCGTACAAAACCTTAAAATTGAGAGTCAAATAATGACATTTTAACATTTTATTTAAAAATAGATTTATTATTTTTCATTAAACTTAAAATTTTTTAATATATTTTTATTAAATTTAATTATTTTTTTACTATATATTTCTAAAGATAAAAGGAAAAAAATTATTTTTATATAACTATAATCGTGTCATAAAACAAATATACGAAGCTTAAACCTCCTTTTGAGCTTAAACTTCTTTTTGGATAAAAGGATTAAAAATTAAAAATAATTAAAAGGACTCTTTTATTTTAAAATAATTGTTTTTTTTCAAATGTATTTTAAATTAATTATTATTTAAAAATTTTAAAATAAATAAATACTTTTTTCTTACTTTAATTCTTATTATTATTTACTTACGGTAATTAATCATCTATTACAAAAGGGTTAACACCAATTGTCATCCCTCCACTTTTAAAGTTGTTCATAACCATCCCTTCACTACAGATTTGTTCATTGTCATCCCTCTAGTCCCAAATCACACCAAATGTCGTCCCTCTACTTCCTTTATTTTGTCCATTGTCATCCTTTTCTTGACGCCATTTCTACATCCGTTAATTGGACTGTTAATTGCATCACGTCAGTAGTTAAAGTTATTTTTTATTATTTTTTTGACGTATGTGTTGTAGACTTGGGGTTTGATTGGGCCAATGGTTTTATATTTTGGTTTTAAATCAAATCGCTTTTTTTAATTGCTTCTATTACTTTTAACTCTTGTTTTTTTATCAAAAAAATTCACCGCCTTTGACGCCAGTTTGCATCCATAAAAAAATTCATGAGATAAAAATCCCTTTTTCTCTTTATATATTAATTAAAATCGACATAAATAAACAACTATAAATTAGGAAAATGAAAAGAAGCTAAAAAGGTGAAGTACCTTGATTATCTATGCATGCATGGAAA